ATGGAAGAAAAAAACAACAACAACAACAAATACGAAGCGACAACCATTGGGTGAATTGAAATTTGGAATTTCATTCATTCATTTTTTTTCTCATCATAAATATTCACAGCGATGATGATATGAGCGCATACATCAGTATCGTCATCAACAACAATAAAAAAAATGTCAATTTTTTCTCATAGATTCTATGCATAGAATCCTTTATTTTTTCTTCTTTTTTCATTGTCATTATTCTTTACTATTTGTAAAATTTTTTTTTTTTGGTTTGGTTTGTTTCTACCACCATCATCATTTTTTTTTTTGTTTTGTTTGTTATGAATCAACCACTACTAAATTCATCGATCTATGTCACTGTATTATTATGGAATTATAGTAGTGAGAGATATATGAGAATTGAATGAAGAAAATTGTATATACAATTCTTGAGTAAACAACAATAACAACAACAACAACAAGCTATCCAGGCAACTTTTTGTTGTTGTTGTTGTCTACCCAGCAAACAAACAAACAAACCAACAGAATAACAAGACACACACACACACACACAAACATGACACGGCCACCAACATCAAACAAACAAACAAACGAGAAAAAAAATATCGATAAATATACACCCAAAACAAATGAGACTACTACTACGTACGTACGTTCGATAGTGTTTTATTTTCTGTGTAGAATGCAAAAAAAAAATGATTCTGAAAACAAATTGAAAAGCAAAGCATATAGTGTGACAAAAAAAAAGAAGAAAAAATGAAACTTGATTATATTCGACCTAAACCAGGAGAAAAAAATGGACTAAAAATATCAAAATACAGTATTAAACAAGAAAAAAAAGTGAAATGAAACAAGAAAGCAAAAAAAAAGAATGAATGAATGAATGAATGGTGGAAAAAATCGATTAATATCGATCGAAATCAACATGATATTACGGTACGAGGACACACATACCATACACAAACACACACCATTACTAGGAATTGAATGGATATGACATTCATTTTAGGATATAAAACAAAATTATGAAACTTATACCTCTCTATGTGTGTGTGTGTGGGTGCGATATGATGAGATGTAGGGAATATAACCGAATAAAGAAATTCACAGGCAACAACAGAAAAAAAAATTTGAAAATTCAACAATGGTAGGGAGCTGGGAGTCAATGGTAGCGCAAAAAAAAATGGTTTTGATCATCACCATCATCATCGTAATCATGATGATGATCATCAACGATGAAAGAACAAACAAAATGTGGAAAAAAAGAAGAAAATTTTCAAATAACACACACACACACGACATCAAGAAGGAATAATTTAAAATGACAACATTTTCAACCAAGAACCAAAAAAAAAAAAAAAACGGATCACACCATCATCATAATGGCTCACTTGATTCAGTTATTATATTCTGATATATTTCTTCCCACCCGCTATAGAATTCTTTAAACAAAATCGTAGAATCGTAGAATGAATATACGAAAAAATTTTTTTTTTCGTTTGTTTGTTTGTTTCAATCCAATTTTCGCCACACACAAAAAAAAATGAAAAAATTCTAATTTTCAGACGGAACCAAAAAATATAAATAAATAAATGATGGTCATCGATTTTGGCAATATGGTCATCATCATTATTATAATCAGTTGAGAAATATAACCAGAACAAACAAACAAAAAAAAATACTGATGTTTTGAAATTGAAAATTTTGTCCAGTAAATGTGGGTATACATGACTATTTTATTTTTTTTTCTCGGGCGATTGGTAAACATCCCATTAGATATTTTTGTTATACACAGGAATGAAAAAAAAATTTTTCGAAGTTTCTTATTTGAAGACGGCAAAATTTGTTCATGAAATAAGAAAAAAAAAACCAAATGGCCGGATCGGCAAATGTAAATAAAATTGGTATATATTTTTTTTCTATTTCATATTCTTGGTTTATTCCCAATAAACGGAAACTGAAAGTTTGTTTGACCACCACAAAAAACGATAGATGATGATGATGATTGAAAATACAGAATAAACAAAAAATGGATTTTGTGTGAGCACACACACAAAAAAACGGACAGTAGTGGAGTAGTAGGAAAAAAAAGTGACATATATTGAAAGATTTCGAAATCAAAAGGGAATCGATATGAAAAGTGAACAGAACGAACAAAAAAATAAAAACAATATGTAATGCTGACTTTTGATTTGATTTCAATGGACAAATTGAAACTTTTGGTCAATCGTTATAGTTTGCTGTTACGCAAACATATTGATGATGAATCTATTTATTTCCGTCATAAACAAAAAAAAAAATGGATCATGAGCAGTTCCAAATGTATGATGAGAAAAAAAAAAAATGAAATGAACAGTCAACTATAATTTGATAATATGTCATAAGTTGAATGGTCTTGCATCACACCACCATCCCACAAATAAGTCAACAGCCATAATTTGTCAAAAAAATGACCAAAAAAAAAAAAAAAAAAAAAATTTGAATATCGGCACAAAAAAAATAACCATGGTAGACCATGTGTGTGTGTGTGTGTCCACCGAACACGCAATAGGAATTTAATCAAAGAATTGAAAAACACACACACACCCAATATATTTTGATAAATCGGAATATTGATTAAACATTGAGCAACTGAACAAATGATCATCATCATCAAAAATCTTTTCAAAATTGAATAAAAATCATCATCCAATTTTTATATATCTCATTAAACAATGAATAAAAATGAAATCAATTCATTATGCAATCATCATAGCCATAAGCCAATTATGAATACCAAATAAAATGACTAATCATCATAATCGATTTAATGAATAAATATATTCAAGAATTTGAGACAAAATTCCAATGAAATCAGAATATAAATCGCAAAAAAAATAGCGACAAACACATAGACAGAAAGAAAGACAAATTGTGATGAATTTTTTTTCTTCTTTATAATACCCAAAACAACAAAGAATAATGATGATGATGATGACAGCCATCAACAAGACAGAACAAAAAAACGAAGCAAGCAATTTGTCTTTTGCACATACAAACACACACACACACACACAGCTGCTGAAGAAAAATGATACATTGTCGCAATATTTATTTGTGAACATATTGTCATCACAATTGGCGATGACATATCAAATATTCGATATGATGATGATGATGATGATGTCCAAACAAAACAAACAAAAAAAAGATTAGATTTTGATGTGTGTGATGAAAAAAAAAAAAAATAAAGGATGAGCCCAGGATTTATAATAATAATATTATTTATTTATAAGAACCAGTGGTCAGCGGTAGAAAACAGAGGAATATATTTTTGGTTATCATTATTGCCATTATCCTTCCAACAAAAAACAAAACAAAAAAAAAACAAGACTGTCCATTGGTCATATGGAAAAAAAAGACTAAACTTCAATGTTCAACGCCATTGTTGACGATTTTATTTATTATTTTTGATTTTCATTTTAATCGTAAAATAAACATCCAAGATGAAAGACGAAAGAAAAAGAATGTTGTGTGTTATTTGACGGGCCAAGGAAAATTTTCATCAAATGTAAAAGCTAAATGTTTGAGAAAGAGAGAGGGAGAGAGAGAAAGAGAAAAAACATTAACCCAGAAGAATTTTGAACCAGGAACAAAAAAAAGCAATCATTTGCAATATGGGTGTGCTGGTTCGATATATAAAAACGCAAGATAAAGATAAGATGATGTGGTAAGTATTCAGAAACAACCACACGGAGAAATTGAGAAGGAAAAAAAAATTCAAAAAAAAAACGATCCCAGAAAAAACCAAAAATTCATGTTCACCAAAAACAACAACCGAACCAAACCAAAATTTCCATTTCAATCAGTTGGCTGTTTTTTGGTTGAGACAAACCAACCATCAAAATGCCCAAGGCCAACAACATGTGAACAACATGTGATTCATGTGGTTGGCGATGCAAATTGAAAACTTTTAACTTTGAAAGCTATGAATATGAAGTATTGAACTTTTTGAAAAAAAAAGAAAATCAAAGATATTCAATGTGGAAAAAAAAGTCGAACCAGAATAAACGCCGATCAAACACACACACACACACACACACACACACACACATAGTATGTATATGTGATCCGATTAATTTAAATCAATCTAATTTTGTGAAATTCCTCAAGGAACAAGGGCAGAATTCACATTGTTTTTTTTCCTCATTCTGTCTCGATAATTCTAATCAATTTTTGTTGTTGTTGTTGATGGTGTTAACACAACAAAGTGCACACAACGATAGACAACAACAACAACAACAACAACAAAAGAACAAAAAAGTTATGATTACACAAAGTGCCAAAACGATTACAATGAAAACAACCAAGTATCGACAACAACAACAACAACGATGATGATGAGTAATGGATGCCTAGCAATCAATCCCTATAGGGGAATGATGCATCATTTTTTGGAGCTCAAATGTGTCGAACAAACTCATGGACATGTTTGTAGACAGTAGACATTCATCCAATTTTATTAGTTTTCTTTTTCAAAAGAAAATTTTCTTCAAGTTTTGTGATGAGATTAAACAATATTATATAATATCATGATGATAATAATAATAATAATAACGACAAAAGACATGAATGTGAATGTGAATGATTAAGAAAAAGACCATTTTTTTTTGGGCAAATCCAAGACATTGATGATGATTATTATGAGGATGATGGAACGTGATGAAATCTTTTCAATGTACAGAACTACCAACTAACTAAACATTGTGTTTCATTGTGTATGTGTGTGATCTATTAAATCTTTAAGATTGATTTAGATGTGGGTGTGAAAGAACAGACAAAAACAAAAACGAAAAAAAAATTCTCATTATATAAGCAGCTTATATATGATGATGATAAGGATAAGGATAAGGATACTGTTGAAAATTTGCAACCAAAATATTTCATTTCAACAATGTGTGTGTGTGTGTGTGTTTTAAAATATATTAAAGAATCAAATCTAAATACAGAATAATTGTTCTACTTACAAATCCATAGCCACGAGATTTACCAGTCTGACGATCAGTAATGACAACAGCTTCTTCAATATCGCCGAATGTTTCAAAAATTGTCTTAATGATTTATCGGTAGTATGATATGGTAGACCACCGACAAATATTTTCGTAAATGTTGTATCTTTCATTGGTTGATAATAATTATTATTATTATTATTATTTATGATGATTATTTGTTGCCGATGTTGATGATGATGTTGTTGATGGTGATGATATTTGATGTTGATGATGATTATAATGATGATGATTATTTGAATGTGTCGATACGTTTATCGGTGGATGCATCACATTATTATTGGTCATTGTATTGTTGACCATATTGCTATTTGGTTGTTGCAAAGTTGTTGCTGTTGTTGTCGCTGTTGATGATGATGATGATGAATTTTTTGGTACCTGAAAATGATGATTATTATTATTATTATTAATAACACTGGCACTATTCAATATTGGTGATAATGGTGTTGAAGTAATGCCGGAAGCAGTCACAATTAATGATGGCGATGATGATGTATTAATGGTTGATGATTGTTGAGATTGTGGTGGTTGTTGTTGAGAATTTGGCAATAAAGGAGACGGTACTGGTGATGATGATGTTGATGTTGATGATGCTGTTGATGACGATGATGCTGCTGCTGCTGATGTTGGCTTACCATTCACCGATAGATTTGTTTCATTCATAGCCATATCATTATTATTATTTCCGGCTACTTGTAGCTGCTGCTGCTGCTGATCATTATTGCCCATTGATGAATGTGATTTTGAATCTGTCATTGATGTTGGCGATGATGTGTAATTATTATTCAACTGATTACTAATTGTTGTAGAATTATTATCCATAGAATTTGTTGTCGATGATGATGTTATTGTAGAATTGATCAAAGTTGATGAAGACTGTTGACTATTATTATTGTTATTCAGATTTCCATTTGTCATATTCAAACTTTGGCTGTTATTATTGTTGTTGTTGTTGTTGTTGTTGTGATGTGAATTTGAACCATTATAATGATGTTGATGATGTGAATTATTATTATTATTATTATGGTGATGATGATGTTGATAATTGGTGTTTATTGTAGACTGTGAAAGTGTTGGTGGTGGTAGTGGTGGTGGCGGTGGTGGTATAGTACTAAATGATGACATTAACATATGATGATAATCATGAAATTGTTGTTGCGCTTGTTTAATTGAATAATGATCAATTCCGGAACCGGTAGCTGCTGAAGCAGCAGCTGCTGCTACTAATATAGCTGTAGTGTTATTTGATTGATGTTGTTGTTGTTGTTGTTGTTGTTGTTGATGATGATGATGGTGATTAAGATGTTGATGAAAATGATGATGGTGTGGATGATATTGATGATGCCATGCATTATTGGCCATAGTTTTAGCTACCAAAGTGGCAGCTACCTTTTTTTACTGTTGTGGTTGTGGCTGCTGTTTTTTGGATTTGTTCAATGTTTTTCACTTCCACTTTTATTTATTATTATCACCAGGTTTGATTTAATTTTGGTTTCAAATCAAAATTATCCATTTCACATAAGAATCAGAGTGAACAACAACAACAACAAAAAAAATTAGGCACCATATTATAAATAACAACAACAACAACAACAATAAAAATAGAAATAACTGCAAAATAATGAAAAACAAAAACAAAAACAAAAGGCGACAACTGTGTTAATGGTTTGTTCGTATATATATTTTCTATGAATTAAATTGGATCATCATCACAAGCACGAACACACACATACAAATGACAATTAATTTGATTTCGATCACTTATGAGATGGCTTAACATTTGATACTTTGTTTTGAAATGATGATCATCATGATCATGATGATGATGATTCTCAAATTGTCGATAAAAATAACAATGACCAAAACATTATGGTGATATAATTGACCATAATTAACCATTGATTCCCATTAATTACACTGAAATGAATCATTTATTATGATCAGTGAATATTTGATGATTCAAAATTGGTTGAAACTAGAGAAAAAAAGAGATGTAAAAAATATGTAAAGAAACTTTATTAGAAATCAAATATGATGAAAGTTTTTGGAAATTTTCCGAAAATCATAAACAATATTTTGTTCAATTATTTATTCTACGACAAATAATACGCAAAAAAAAATCCTTCGAGAATAACCAAAAAAAAAGTTGGGCTTCCAATTGTGAGCAATACACACTCGGGACCATTGTCCGTTTCTTAAACAAAAAACACAATGAAAACTCTGAAACGAATAAAAAATAAAAAAAAAATTCTTAATTCTCAAAAGTTTCAAGTCAACAACAAAATTCTGGTCCAAAAAAAAAAATCCTCATCCACAAACCCTTATGGCAATGGATTGGTGATGCAATTAAATTTTTAGTGTTTGAAAAATTTATTTAAAAAATTTTTAAGTTTAATTTAGGATTGAAAAAAGACTGACAAACAAACAAAAAAAATTTTTTTTTTTTGTTCCACTGAAAAAAAGGCACAAACATTAATCCATCACACACACACACACACACATCAATATGGTAGTTTTTTTTATATTTGTCCATTTAATTGTGTATTAGTGGACCATTGTTGATAAAATGTTTGAAAAAAAAATAATTGAAAATGGTCAAAAAAAATAAAATGAAAAATAATTGGTAAAAATCGTTACTTATTCGTGCGAACCTTTTTCGTTATATGTGCATTAATTCATTGATGATGATTTTTTTTTTTTCATTGCATCGACCGTCCATTGAAATTCACCATTGCATTCATCAGTAATGATGATTTGATGGAATGTTGGCCACGTCCATATATGGACGACATGAATGCACGGCACACACACACAACATCAAGTTTAATCTATTAGTTTGTTGAAATGTGTACGATGATGATGATGATGATGGTACTCTACCGGGATATGCCGTATATTGTCAACAAATGTTGTCGTCAATGGTGTAATTAATTATTAATAATTTTGAAATATTTATTTTTCATACAAAATATTCAAAAGTTTCCAAAAAAAAAAAAAAAAAAAAACATCAATTTATTCTCCAATCCAAAAGCCATCATCATCATGTTGTTTGTTGTTGTTGCTTTTTTTTAAATATCCATCTTATCTATAGAAATGAAAATATTACATAAAATGGATAAAAACATCGTTGAATCAACATCAACAACAACAACAAAAAAATTGGCCATAATAGCCAACAACAACAACAACAAAAAACCAGCCAAGAAAAAAAGAAAACATCCATAGAAACGATGATGATGATGATGGCCATGATGGTGCTTTACCAGAAAAAGAAAAAAAAATATCCCAATAATGACCAGACCTTTTTCCACACACACACACACATTTTTTTTGTTGTTTTTCATTCATGTTCAAAATGAAAATTGTTTTTTTTCTTTCTACCCAAAATGTGTATTTGTGTGTGTGTGTGTTTTTTCTCCCGTGTATGCCATCATAGTGGGGGCAAAAAAAAACACAAACAAAAACAAACACCAGACGCACGATGGGCAGCCCAAAAAAAAAAAAAAAAAAGTTTCATACCAGATCTACTTGTGAGAACAAAAACAAAAACAAAAACAAAAAATTAATTTCTCTCCCCCACCTTCAGTTTTAATATCAGAGACGAAAAAAAAAAAAAAAATCACCAGAATATTATCCAAGCTATTACACTGATTGGACTTGGTTTATGTGCTGTTTGTCCAGGTTTTTTTTTTGGTTCATTGCTTCGGTTTCGTTTGCTTTATGTGTGTGTGTGTGTGTGTGTCAAAATCGGTCTCATAAACACAATAAAAAAAATGAAAATGAAAAAAAAAATTCTGTGGAAAATTGTATGGAGCAACAAAAAAAAAACCTAGATAGACTTTTGGGAATTGAAAATGCAACGATGATGATGATGATGATTGAAATGAAATTGATGCAATATATTTACTTGAAACTCAAATTGCTAAAGCGACATAGAAATAGAGATATTAAATTGAAAAATTGTATTCAAACACGCAAAAAAAAAAAATTTCACACTGTCTTGCTTATGATGATGATGGTCAATCCAATGAGATTCATTTGCTTTTCCGGTATTCTAAATAATAACCATCATCATTTGTGCTCTAAAAAAACTCAACACACAACTCAAATTTTACAATTTCAATTTCAACAAATTAAAAAAAAAAACAGACAAAACAAACAAAAACTTCTTGAAATTCTTGATTCCTGTGAGAGAGAGAAAAAAATGAATAGAAAAAAAATTCAATAATCCAACCGGACAGTGATGATGATGATGATAATAATAAAAATTTTTATTTTAAATATTCCTATGATCATGGTCTTGCTGTTTTTTTGACATAATGAATTTTATGGTCCACCATTAATGATGATGAAAAAAAAAGTTTGAATTTTTTTTTCCTTTCCATTTCTCTCTCTATATTCTCTTTTCATAAACATATGGGCGTTTACAGTATGTGGTGGGCGTTTTTTGTCTAAATTATTTACCATAATTCGTACACACACACACACACACACACACAAAGAAGATTAAAACTCAAAAATAGAGCAAGAATTTTTTTTTTGCAATGAAAGATTCTTCAGTGACTTAAACGCACACACACACACACAGGAATGGCCATTATGAATTTAATTAATTTTGTGATAGCATAAAAAAAACGAGAAAAAGAAAGGGGTAATATATGAAACAAGCAAGCAAGCAAGCAAGCAAAAAAAAATATCGCTTTCCAAGTTATGAATATGAAATATTTGCTAATACCGACTAAACATATATGACAATGATAATGATGGTGTGTCTAAATCCAAGTAATGAAAATGATTACCAGTCTAAATATATATATGAATATTCTGTAGAATGGAGACAAGAGAATTCACATCACTAAAATGATGATGAAAATTATGGTTCAAAAAAAAAAAATTTTTGTCTGGTTCCAAATTTTTTTCTTATTATCATTGTATTAGCTCAGTTAGCTCTTATTTACAAGCTTTTTCTTTTCTTATTTTCTGGTTCTTAAAACATAAATTTTCACTAGAAAATAAAAATCAATTCTATGAAAAAAAAGGATCTAGTTTCATCGTCATCATCATCGAATATTCTTCTGTGTGTGTGTGTGGAAAGAAAATTTGTTGTTGTTGTTGTTGTTGTTGTATAGATAAAATGAATGGCTTTAAACCAGTTAGTAATGGGTTGATAGAGAGAGAAAAAATGATCCGTTTTTTTGGAATACCGGATCCACTATCAACGAAATAACCATCATCATCATCATCATGATGAAAATTTATGTGAATGTGAATTATTATTGTTATGATTATATCCTGTCGACACGCAACGCAACGCAACCAACCAACCGACAAACCAACCAACCAACAAACCAACAGACCGACAGACCTACCGAACAATAGCATTACATCATTCACATAAACAATTACAATATAAATATGATGATCAGGTGAACAAAATGACCGTGCATTTTATTATCCGCCTACACATCAGAAAAAAAGGCAAAACTTTGTCCATGTTGATTTTCATCATTAATTAACAAACAAACAAAAAAAAATTTCATTGTATATGCATCGTGTTGAAACAAAAAAAAAAAAAAAATTCAATGCCAATCACTTTAACACAAATCAAGTGTGTCTGCATGTGTGTGTGTGGAAAAAAGCCAATCGACGACAAAGTAAAATTTTGGACAGCGATTATTTTAGAATTTTTTGTTGTTGTTTTCCATTATGGAATTTTTTTTTCATCATAAAAAAAATTGATGACGGTGTTGGTGGTGACCGTCATCAACAACGACGACGACGACCGACGATGATGATGATGGTAGTTGGAAGAATGAAAAAAAAACAAAACAAAACAAAAAAAAATTTTAAGCAGATTAAATTGTCAATTAGGCTAATTAGATTCGTGAATAGTGTAGCTAGAATGAATGAATGAATGAAGAGAAACACTGCCATTTTTTCCTTG